TGGAACTGTTGATCCTTCAAATTATGTCATTACTCTTCTATTTCATCATGATGGATGGTTTAATCATGGGAAAAATTGTTGGAAATGATAATCTAAGGAAGATATTCAGTCATTGTGCATGAGAAAACTAAACTGGTTCATCAGATATGACAGAAAAAAGACCTGTTTGATTTCTTGTGGTTGATCATGATGCAGCTCCTAACACTTGCTGAATCTTCCAATCTCTAATTGCCAGTTAACAATCTTGTGCTGCGGCCAGATAGGAACACAGATGAGCAGTAAGAGTCTTGAGATACACAAAATGTGTGTATGTAAAAGCATCAGCCAGAATTACTACCATTCTGAACACACTTTGTAAGATCAATCATCAACTATCTTGACTATTTGGAGGAAGATAATTCGATCATCGCCAGAGATAATGTTGAATTCATTGGATTGAAACAACCTGTGACCAAAGAGGAGCTACATTGACACCCAAGGAATATGCTTTCTTCTCATGGTAGGTGCCACTTGACAAATTGGTTGTCCATCTCGGATCAGGAAAGCCAAGTCATATGCTTTCTTCCCCATCCAAGACAAGATTGCTTAGGCAATGCTGACAAAGTGGTGATCCATCGTGCAAGTCTGCATGATTTTATTTCTGATAAATGTTTGGATCAGATCACACTTCACAAGCTCAAGCAATTTTGTACCTTCAGTTTTGCAGCAACCACAAAGGAGCTTTGAGAGGGAACAAGGTACAAAGGAGCTATTTCTCTAAATGGTTTTCCACTCAGAAACAAGTTTGGATTGGAACCTGAGGAATCAACTGAATGAAAAGTTCTCAACTTAGATATTGCATAATGAGTTGAATGGTTTACAATATATGGAATTCATAACTATTGCACATAAGGTAGGTATTCCATTAAATTTATTTATTGCAGGGCAGAACTTCAACAGATATGAGGTGTTTTCCTACTTTTTGTCTTTAACTAATTAATGGTCTGTTTATAAATCACAAGATCAGAAATAATCAGTTGTCACCAGTTATTATTATTTTAATCCAACTTTGCTCCTTGTGGATAAGATTCTTTTAGTAGTGAGCTGATTCTTTGTTGTATTTAATTGATAGCTTAAAAACCAAGCAGCTTCTTAGAAAGCCCACCAGAAGGTGCCTTTACACTTTATCTATACTAAAAAGCACTGAGTTACAAGTGTTCACCACTTCAGTTTATGTGTATGTAAAATAAGCACCTGATATGCAACCCTCATTTGTCAGATCTCCACCTGTGTTTGCTGAAGACTATTTTCACAAACAAACAATTTTGGTTCCCATTTGTTACAGTTGATTCTTCAGGGGGTTGAAGTGAATTTGGTTTAGGTATCTCAACAGCCACTAATAACTCTTTTTATTAAAAAGCTTTAATTCCACTTCTTGTAGGTATGTATATTTGCAGATCCTAAGATGAATCTGTTTTAAATACATCAAAATGATTCCCTTTTTTTCTCCATAAAAAACTACAATTACTTGTTTTTTCCTTTCCTGCAAAAAGATAAGTCATTTTGGCATGCTCTTGTTGATTTCTGTAGTTTGAGCCAGACCTACTAAGCCAGCTTGTGCCCAGTACACTGCAGTGCTTTGCAGCACCCAGCTGCTTCAACAGGGACCATCATCACATGCACATAGATATGGTACAAAGGAGTTGGCAGACAATGACCCAAATGGAAACAGAGCTCCCACCACTTGCCTAGAGCATCCTTTGGGCAATGGTTTTGCAGAACTTTTGACACTAATAACTCCTACATTGCAGAGGTGAAAAAAGTAGTTCAATTACTTGGATTCTGGCACTCTACCTACCCATCACACTTGGGCTGCTACAATGACTCTTTCAGCACCCAGAACTTGAATCAGAGTAGAATTATAATTACTTGCATTCCAATAGATTTGATGAATTGCTTTGTTCTTTAACAATCTAAATTAGAGGCAGTGAACAGAAAGTTGAGTGTGTTAGTCAAAAGCCAACCACAGTTAAAAGGAAGGTTAGAAAGCATACAAGTTCTAAGCTATGCACACCCCACAGCATGTGCAAGGAGTATTTTTATTTCTCCAATACGAAATGATCATTTATGGTTCAAAGCAAGACAAAAACAGCATCAGTTATAGCATTTTGACCTGTTACTTGGAGTCTTCAAAAGGAAGATGAGAAGAGATATTGATGGCTGGCACATGCATACAGCATAAAAAAAATACTAAGACAGTTAGGTTGGGTTTCAGATAAAGATAAGATTAGCAAGGATTCAAGGATGAAAGAATGCCTAACCATTATAGTGGTGCCACCATCTGATGATCTCATAAAAAAGTTACCCACATCCACAGGAATATGCTGACTCCAGTGGCAAGCTGGAAAGCAACAAACACCAAGATTAAGTAAGGTTAAACTAGAGAACAGCTGCATGAGAAATTAACTGTGTTATGTCTACATTGGATCTAAGATCAACAAAGTAATACTGCATATTGAATTGTCGATACAGCTGGATTTTGTCTTCCTTTATCAAGTTGTCCAGTCCTCTGTTTTATTTAGCATGATCATAGGGCCCATAATGGATAACTATAATTCTGGCACACATTTATGTCAGGTGTAGGATGAGGACAAAAATGAATCAGACAAGAAGAAACAGGAATCCCAGATATTGAGACATGTACAAGTACAGGAGGGAGACAATCTGTGGATAAGAGAAATCTCTCTACAGTCCTTGTGGACTAGAAATGTTGTGTATATAATTTTTTTGTATATACACAAAAAACAAAAAATGCTGTATATATAATAACTATGATCAGTTGACTACAAAGTCACAAAATATGCACATGTACAAGATAAGTTTTGTAATATTACCATGACCTACTCAGCCTAAATCCAACATGCCAAGATGATTTATGACTAGGTATTTACATGGAGTTCCAAATTCATACATCAAGCAAGGTATGAGTGAATTGGTGTTCCATCATGCCAAGCCACTGTTTTTTCCAAATGTGAAATCAGACTCTGCTCAAATGCCAAAAGATGTTGTGTGCCCATGTTCAAGAAGTCGATCACTGCATGTTTTCTGGGGTACACTTAGCTACAACTTCTGTAAACATTAAGAGTACCCAGAGATTGAAGGTTCTTATTCTTAAATGCAACTTCTCCTACAGATTTGTCAAAAAGAATAAAAGAAGAACATAGTCATTTGCTAAACGATGATCATGCGCACCTCAGTACTGTTCACAGTTCAGATATCATTTTCATGCATTCAACTATGATCCCCCACTTGGCAGCTTTAGGGATATTGGCATGTTTGAGGAGAAGATATGCATTTTAGGCTTCCTGCTCCTGCAGATAAACTTCTTTGCCATTTATCAGTAACTGGTGGAATCACTTGACATTGGTTGATTCAACCAAAAGCCATCCAATTTTACATAGCTATCACATCAGGCTGCCTCAAAACATTGTTTGAATAGCATTTTGCACTAACCATCCTTTCTTTAATCATCAGTCACTATCCAACAATCCCTCTCTGTTTGAAAGCTTCAACCCTTTTGCATCACTTATTCAGGGTCTGTGACACTGAAATAGAAAGGGACTCTAAACCATACTTACAAAAAGAATTCTTTTATTTGTATTGTTTACCACAGATCGCAATTGCCGGCAATGAGTGTCCAAAGGTAAACAAAACTAAAGCATGAAGAACTGTTGGCTTAAGTATGCCACTTCTTGTCTCACATTTAAATCCTTGTCCTCAGGTTCCACTTGCACTTGTAAAACTATGGATGTAATCAAGCATAAATCTAACCAAAAGACATCTACTTCCTTTTGGTAACTCAGTGACAAGGAGGAAAGGTTGAACAAGGACAGCTGCAACCTAATGCATTCAAGAAAATTAGGTGTTACACCAATGACACAATTCCAAACAGTATGAGAACAATGAATGTAGTCATGCCCGGTTGTGGTCCGTTCTTTTCATCGGCCTATCGATATGTCAGTGGCTGAACCATACGAATCACCTTCAAGACTGCCCATCACACTCATTGTTCATCCTCACAATTCAGAAGTTTGTGATCTGCTTTCGAGAGAGACCTGACCAGGAGAGGAAGAGGGCAGCCATTCACATTCTTCAAGTACTATACCTACTCATAAATGGAACTCACAGCAAGCATTTGTAGTTTTCCAGATGCCAAATGCAAGCAACATTAAATTGTTAGTCCTAAAGACCAACGAGGCAATGATCATAGTCCTAAAGACCAAGTAGAGAAAAAGTGTTGCTCCAATTTGAACACCCTCTCCAACAGCAGCTGGGGTCAAGATTGCCCATGAGCCAATGAACTGACACCATGAATCATAATTGGGCCTTGTGAGATCAGGTCCAAGCATCAATTTCTCTGGGTTACAACACCCAATGCCCACTGTTTTCCTCTTCTTTTTCTTTCTTGTAAGAACTTAACTGAATGTTTTTCTTTGGTTTGGCTAATCACGAATTTGATCCATGTTTTCCTAACCGAAGTCTCCAATGATGATATATTGTATCACATGTACTGAAAAAATACCGAGTAAGAAGGATTTTGCAACGTTGAAGAGATGAGAAGACATGAAGAATACGACTCATTCACATTTGACACAGAGTAAATGAACGATAGATCATAACATAAAGATGATGACGAATGTGGAATATGCGAATAATTTAGAGGCATAAATATGGGTTAATTTCTTTGGAGCTATTTATGATTAGAAAGTTAACTCTCAAACTCACACCTTCTTAAAAAAAAAAAGAAAGAAAAATAGAAAAAAAAAATCGATTCTTAACCGAAAAATAGGATGATAGAAAAAATAATAATAGAAGAAGGAAGACCGGAGAAGTCCGTACACCGCCGAGCCGCCAAAATTTCGACCTTTAGTCCATCGTTTGCGAAATAAATGAGCAAAGAAACGCGCTCGACGACGCGCGATTTCCGCCCGGCGAAGCGGCGCCGGCCAAATCAGAGAGGGATGCGCGTGGGCCCGGGTGGCGAGCCGCACGGCGCACATCGCACGGCTCCCGCGGCCCCGACTGCCCTATCGAACGGTCGTCGTCGTCTCCACGACCGGGCCGAGATCTCGCCTCCGCTCCCTATCCCGTCTGACGACGTGGGCCCCTCTGTTCCTCCAATTGGAATGTAGGTGGTGCAAAGGGGCCCGAATCTTTGTTTGTTCGGGGAAGGTGAAAAAGATTACCTGCCTAATAAAATCCACCCAGCTGTTGGTATAAAAGATTCGGTAATGTTCCCCAAATTTTCCTAATATATTCAGTATTATTTGCTCACAATTCACGGATTCTTGAGTCGCTCCTGTCAACATGGTAAGAGAATTATTCGATCTCATCTGTTCTTGTTGATTTCAAGACTTGCAGTAGGAATTGCTCTTCGAAATTCTCTTCAATGGTTTGGTTTCTTCCTTGATGAACGTCTCGATGTAATCTTGTTAACGAAATCTTGGGTTTTTGGCAAGGTGGGGTATGCGTTCCATTACAAGAAGAAGAGTGTCATCAAGACAGAGGAGGAAGAGGAAAGCTTACTTGGTAAGATAAGGGGGAGGGGAAGGCGGAGGAGCGTGGCGAAGGCGGGGGGATCGGGATGGGTGGAGTTACTGCTGCGGAGCAAGTTCTTCGGGGTGTGCGAGGAGCACAAGGAGACGCGGAAGAGCGAGGAGAACATCTACTGCGTCGACTGCGGGCGCCGCATGTGCCCCCACTGTGTCGCTGGGCCTGCTTGCCCCCACCGCGCCCACCGCCTCCTCCAGATCCGCCGCTACGTCTACCAGGACGTCGTCCGCGTCCACGACATGCAGAAGCTCCTCGACTGCTCCCGAGTCCAGGTAGACACATACCTTCTTCTTCTTCTTCCCTATCGTTGTACAGCGCATAAATTTGAAAGCATTTACCGGCACTCAATTTATCTCTTTTTGTTGAATTGTATTCGTGATTTAATTTTTTTTAGGGGTTTGGATTAAGAAGAAAAAGGTAATTCTTTGCTTCGATTGGGCTTTGATTACTACTATTCTCTTAATTATCTTGTTAATATAAGGAACTTTCTCTATTTATTTTGGTGATCAGCCGTACACCGTGAACGGCGCCAAAGTGGTGCTGCTGAATCCCAGGACGCAATCAAAGCCGTCCAAGTCGAACGCGGGCGGGTCCGCCTGCCAGCTCTGCCGTCGATCCATCTCGGAGCTCAATCGATACTGCTCCATCGCTTGCATGGCCGACGTGGAAGGAGCCGCGGCGCCCGGGCCCATCGGATGCAACCCATCGGAGCCGTTCCTTCCGACTCTGACGGCAGGGCTCGAGGGGTCGCAGTCCCCGTCGTGCTCGTTCTCGCCTCAGCCGTCCGATGCGTGCCGAGTCGATTTCCACCCTCGGATCACCGAGCCCCCCTCTCCGAAGGTCCATAGAAGGAAAGGACGCCCTCGCCGGGCCCCACTTTTGTGAGCTTCTGCTTTAATCTTTATTGAGTTCGATTAAAACGTTGAATTATTTGATATGCTTCAAAGAAATAGCACAAGTGACGGCAATGAGTTAACATACCGTAAGGAATTCTCTCTGCAACATGTTGTCTTCGTCTTGGGAAAATTAACCCTTCCTGTGAAAGTAATATAAAAGAAATGTCATGAGACTAAATGATCATTAAGAACATTTCTAGGTAGTAGATTGGTAACGAAGACAAATTAAATGCCGGAATCCTATTAATTACTCACACAGATCAGCGGAGTAATCCAACAACAAATACATTAACCAATTAAACAATATTTTCGTTCAGAAAGCCGAACGCCCCAAACCACCTCACGGATCACAAACTGTACAATAGGGAGAGGGAATGCAAACCTCACTGTGTCATTACAATTCAAGAAGTCTGACACTCTTAAATCAAGAACATGGCACTCTTATTGATCCCAATACCTATTACATGTAAGATGAGAAGTAGCTGACTGGTGAGTACTGCACAGGTTTTCCCAGCACTTCCCAAGATATATATATATATATATAGTTCACGGACTATGTCATAGTGACAATCTCTTGTGGACTCTGGAACTTATGATTGCTTGGAGAAGGAATGTATAAAAACTGAGCTCACTTGGAGAACACCATTAGTGAAAACCAAAATCAGAACCATAATCCTTCCTCGGTCCATAAGTCATATGCTTGCTTCAGAGCTGAAAAGGAAAGAAGATTAACTTGTCACTTTGAAGATTTATAATTTTTTTGTATGAAGAAATTTAAGCTATAGAGCATGACTGGAACCTGAATATCAATTCCAACTACAAAGAAAAATGCAAAACCACTCTTTCTTAGGGCAAATAAGGCAGAAAACAAATCTAAGGTCAAAATAATTTTTTTTTTTTTGGTATACATGTTACTATAAGCAAGCATTGGTGCAACAGAGGAATTGTTCAAGCAACAGGATGCTGTTCACATTAAATTATTTTATCACAAATATCAGTTTCCTTCAACAACAGAACTTTCAATATGTATACATAGTATGCATATGACATTTCCTTCTACTTCTCCACCCGGAAGCCTGCTTCTCGTGCACAAGTTGTGCATGCAAGTATACGTGTTGGTTTCCTAAACTGACTTTTGCAGAGTCGAGACAAATACTAAAAACTAGCATAACCAATACATTGATAAACAAAGAAACTCTGTGGCCACACTAAATTTAGACAATGGACTTAACCTATTCAACATGTAGAAGGTAGCACATTTGTTTTCCAGGCTAAACCTATGTGACCTACTTAGTCCGAGTTAGGATAGCCATTAACCATGTCAAGGCCTAACCTGATCTAATGATGGAATAATTGACCTATTAAGTTTTTTTTAGCTCCATCCATTGATCCCCAATGCCTAAGCTCAAATTAATAGTAATACACTCGTTATACCCTAAGTCAATCTAAGTATTAATGTAGTGCCCAAGTCTTGCACACTTTGAATTATGACTAGCATATCAATAAAAACACAAATAATATATATATGTTACTCTCACTTCATGATATGATTTGTAATTCCTATGTTTCATAAATATGATAAATGATATGCTCATGTTTTTTACTTTTAAGATTGAAGTACATGCTTTCCAAAAATATCATTCTCAATACTATAAAATATTGGCTGAGTATGCATAAACATTAATGTTTACGTTATGCATAGTACAACAAGCCAAAATGTGCTAGCGAACTTGAATATAAAGTTAAATTATGGTAATAAGTATGCATATAGTGACTAGAAGTTACAATTGAATTTTAATCGATTTTAAGTGAATCTTAAGGCTTCAATGAATTTAAACACAATCGAAGTAAGAAAATTAAGTTTTAAACCTCATGTATATGGAGGATAATAAGCTACTTAGGCATAGATAGAATAATGAAAAATTAAATGGAGATGCAAAATAAAAAGAAGTGTTATACTAAATATTGAGATACATATATTATTTTTACCAAACCAAATCAAACTCAATTAAAGTTCCTACAATATTAAAATTATACTAGTAAAAGAAGAAAAGAAAAAGAAAACTTGAAATGAGGTCTAATGGGATTGAACCCTATACCTCAAGATAACCTAAGTACCTCTCCATTAATTTTGGCCTCATCCTCTTTACCCAATTGATAACCCACTACTCTTTCTCTTCTTCTTTAGTCATTCTCTTAGTTTTCTCAAGAAGGCCATGAAACATGAGCTCTGAGGAAGATTGAGGTAAGAAAAACTTAACTCTTCCCTTGCTATGCCTAGGTATTCAGTTTTACATATTATAGGTTGATCTTTTCAACTGCTTTTGAGTCACCTAGACTTCGAATTTATTTTTGATTTTTGGATATGTTTTGGATGATTCTTTTATGATTCTAAGGCCACTGGTATGTCATTAATCTGATATTGGTGCATAGAGTTATTATGGTCCCAATTTAAGGTACTTAGAATCAGGGTCTGCCGTACCGAACCGTAACGCCCGATACGGGCGGTACGTACCGGTCCTACAGGTTATCGATACGCGGACCGACTGTTACCGGTCCGAGTGCACTATAGCACTGTAGCAGTGCTACAGTACTCGGTACACCTGGGTATACCGCTCGGTATACCGTACCGTACCGGTACCGAGCCCAGGTCGAAATACCGGTACGGTACGGTATTGCGAACCTTGGTTAGAATCCCTTATTTACTAAGAAGGAATTCTGTTCGAGCTAAATTAGCCCCTTTAAAAGGATATGATTAGGCTTTGGCCCTTTGATATGTTTTAAAATATTCCTTTAGGATTCAGTGAGATTTGGAATAGAGTGAATACCACCTCTGTGCATCAAGATATGAGGTTTATAAGTTCAGACAGTCCCAACCCAATTTGAACAAAACAAAATAGGTGTTAGTAATTGAATTAGGAGGATAGTTTTGCCTCCAAATGATTTTGTTTTAAGCTAAAATTTGATGTGTACTTAGTTTTATATGTCTCCTAGTCTTCTATAAAATTTCATAATAATTCAAGATCATTTGGTCAACTAGAATAGTGAAGTAAATTTTTTTTTACAAAATAGTGTGATAGTTTAATTGATACTATCGAGTTTATTTGATTATAGAGTGAATTATTAGAAAATTTGGTGGTGGAATCTAGATAAATTTTTAGATTAAGTATAGTTTATTTTATCAAGAATTTTATCAAGCTTTTTCTTTGGATTATTGTAATGAATTATTATAAATCGATAATTCAAGAGGTAAGGTTCTTAATTAATGTATCTCATGACCCTATGCTCTTAATTTGATAGGTGTATCACTCACTAGCACACTTGACCAATAAGGAACGTGGTCTTTCATTAGTATCATCATTTTTTAGTTCAATCAAGTAAATTTAATTCACTACAAAATAATGATCGTATAAATTATCGTATGCATAATATATTTTGGAAAGTATGTTTGGAATGATATGATTGTCATGAGCTCGTCATGAGCTAAATGTGGATGTATATTTTGTAAGCATAAAAATATATGAATTGTGATAAAAATATTTTATATGCATGCATATATGATGATGCAGTGTGGGAGTGCACGGATATGTTACAACAAGCTATGCACGTATATGTTACAACGTGTGGTGTGCAAGTGCACATATATGTTATGACGTATGATGTGAGGGTGCACGTATATGTCATGACATAAGATGTGGGAGTGCACGTATATATTAAGACATGTAGTGTGGGAGTGCACATATATATTATAACGTACAATGTGGGAGTGCATGTAAATGTTATTGTACGATGTAGGAGTGCACATATATGTTATGATATGAGGCATAAAAATCCATGCATTTGCTATGTTTCCTACGTGTGCATATAAGCATTTTGAATTTATTTCAACGTAGAACTTTACGTCCTTATTGTGCATATACTATGTTGTAGGGTTATGCTTACTAAATAAGTCATAAGATGATATATTTACCATTAAATGTCTTATGCCCATGATTTTGAAATATTGTATATATGACATGATTCATGCTTACCTAAATAAAATTATAAAGGATTGTACTTACTGAGCGATTACTTATTACAGACCTTATTTTGCAAGTAAGGATACCAATAACCCATCCAAGTGATTGGGTAGGGAAGTGAACACGTGCAAGTCCATGCTAGCGCAGATATGGACGATGACTTGTGGGCATTTTGTGTATATAAATTTTAGATCTATTATGTTTATATTTTTCTTTAGTTAGATGGTATAAGTATGTACATGTGTCAAAAACACTATGTACAGGAGAACCTTGTCATTTTGTTTAGTAATTAGCATATTTTAATTTTAAGATTGCCTACTTTCCGTTGATCCCCTGATCCCCTATCGATAAAAGTAATGAAAATTGAAATGTGACATCCTACTTTAATCATGCATATAGAGTATAGGTGAGACTAGGAATAAGGTGTCACAATTAACACATTACACTTCCGTTGTGGAACTAAATCAATGCATTACAATCTCGCACGCTAAAGTCACTTAAGGACTTGACGTCTCGTTGTTAAGGCTTCAACAAAATCCAAAATTTGACCTTAGTATGACACATGTGAGACAACCTAATGGTGGATCCACGCAATGACAAGTTAATCTTCTTTCTTTAATCTAAGGCCTAGCCCAATGGCGAAGCCCCATCCATAGGTAGTGATTTTCGACTCGAGTCCCTCGACATGCCTAATACTAGGTCGGTTTCTAATGAGATAACTTGACCCATGACCTTAATTAAGCCGAGACTCAACATTTAATTTTAAGCTAAGTTAAAAATAGTACAATTATCAGCCCCTTATAAATCAATCGAAATCTTTAGACACACCAGATGTGAGACTACATCAAGGTGTTACAGATCAGATTTAGGATAAATTTGGACAATTGGGTGTTTAGTTAGGTTCAGCAATGCGTAAGGTGAGATTTGTGAGCACCCTACAAGTCAAATGTAGTAATGCATAGGTTCAGCAATGTGTAGATTCAGCAATACATAGGTTCAGCAATACCTGTTGTTGCTCCTAGTTAATGTAGTAATGGTAGTAGGTCGGTATTTTTAGGCCTCGCACCTACTGTAACCCCTTAAGCCAGATTAGGGTATCCGTGAAACGGGTTTAGGAAGAGTACAAGTGAAAAAGAAAAAAGCACTCGAAGCAAGTTTAGTATGAGTTTCAGAACCTGTATACTTAATCATATTCGGTACAGGTAGGGTGGAATTTGCAAGTACTCTACCTGATGTCCTTCCTAATCCCACCTAGCTCAAGACAAATAGATATGAAGTTCGGTATAGTTGATTCAATCAACAACCCAGAACAATGACCATTTCAAACCAATATTGAAGGTCAACTCTTTGACCAAAAAAACTTGCTTCGCCAGGATGACTGATTGATGGAGGACAAAGAAAACAAAGCAGTTGATTTTTGGATACCGTATCAAACCAAGGCACAAGAACAATGATATTATGCTGCACAAATAGCAAGAATGAGATGTCAAATGACTAAGCATCAAAAGCATATATTATTTATCTGTTCAATCACTAAGATTTTATTTTTGTGCAAGTCATATTACAAGTTAAGCAAAAAAAATAAAACATGCATTCAATTCTAACAACCAGATGGCAAAAAGAAAGACGAGATAGGTAAGCACAATAACAAAAAGGGAAATCATATCAATTTAGACTCATGCCTGTAGGTATCACCCATCAGTGCCTCTCTGGCATGATTCTTGGTCATACTATATAACATTATAACTGATAGGTGAGAACCTTAAACAATCTGATATTTTCTTATTTTCTTCATCAATACATGATAAAAGTATCCTATGAAAGCAAAAAGCCAATAAATTTTTACCATATTTATAGAGAGTTAGGGAGCAAAATGAGCAACTCATACTTGAAAATGGGGTTGGATTATGTGCGCCTCACTGTTGCTGGACCTCTAACAGCCTTAATACTTTGGGAATCTCTAAAGCAAACAAAATGCACAAGTGTCTTTCCATTGGGGTATACTGCAAAAACACTGCTCCCAATCCGCTTATGGCAAAGAGAACACATGCTATCAGCATCAACCTTCACTATTGCTCGACGACAATTATAAAGCTCTTCTTTGACCTGATAAAGTACAAAAGATCAATAGGGCAATAAAGCAGGTGTTATCAAACCTTGCAGATATGCCATTATAGAGAAGTGTGGACATGATTTATTTAGCAAGCAAACCAATCCAGCTGATAAAAGAGTTTCTAAAGGCACGTCTAGAATAAAGGTTCCACTCACTTTGTCTAGAAGAAAGACTAACCTTCCTATGCTAGCAAAAGTTATCTTGAAAGCAAATATAAGTAAAACCTAGTCACCATGTTTATGAAAAAATTACCTGCAAATTCTCATTGGATGTCAAGCTCTTGATAACTGAATGGTTCCGGCTGCCTTCAGTAGATTTCCTCAGAAGGGGCTTGAGGAAAGGAAGCAGATCCTGACAAAATTGAATTAATGGTTTAAGTTTAATGAAAATTTTCAAAAGCTGCAAATAAGTGGTAAGGAAATTATATTGAGTTACCATTATTGATAAGACCACTGTGCACTTCTCCAACGAATTGTTGGATGTTAAATAGCAGTCTCTCATGACATCCCAATATTTAATTTCCTCATAATTTGCTGAACTCAAGACTACTATTGTTAACAAACTGCCAGCAGTGATTCTAAAATATTAAATATTAATTAATTAGTTTTCAGATTTTCCAATATCACATTAGAGTACACCCTAATTTAGCTTTACTAAATCAACCCTTATATTAGATTTCCTATATGTGCAATACGATGGAAAGTTACAGATAGCATTAATTGAGTATATGATGAGGGCTAATCATGTAAGGTGGTCCAGATTTGTCCTTGCAAAATCTATAAGCCCATTAGTGTAGAAAGATGAGTTTATTCAAGTCAACAGTTCCAAAACTTAAAGTGAAAGACCAAACAAGAGTTAATTGAAAACATACTAAAGGAATTTAGATTACCAAAGGGATCTTGCTTGTCACAAAGCAAAATGAAGGAAAAAAATATATATGTAGCTAAAGCATAAACCAAAATAGTTGGTAAAAGATTCACATAACAAAAACGTTATGAATTGATGTCACTCAGAAACCTAGTAAATCATCAATAGACTTCACTCTAGTAGCAATAATTGCTACTGCAATATAAGCAAAAGCAAAGTAGGCAAATGAAAATCTTTTTAGTGTTCCAAAAGAAACAAGCAAGAAACTAACAGAATATGATTATAGCAAACAAATAATCCATCTTTCACCTAGTAGTGTGTCTCATGTTCGTCTCATACACGAACTTGACCTAACTTTTCATTAGAGGACCTCTAGTTATCTCTGTCACTCAATTTTTTAACAAACCAGTGAAGATTAGGAATCATTAGCTTGTATGTAAATAACTGCATACACCTGTAATAAATAGACTCATGAAACAGATCTACAATATGCAATATGTCAAATGAACTACCAGTAGATCAATTATTTTACAAACTTGCAATTACATATCTTGAAAGAGTGACTTTAGACCAGCTTATCATCCAAGGTGTTCACCATGCCACATGTAACTGCATAACTAATCATTTGCTTTGGGATTATAATTCAAGATTGATTTTCACAACTTTTCTTCCTCTTGTATCTTAATGAGGACCCACAAAATAATATAATATGATTATTATAACAATAATATCAGCATGAATGGAGGGTACACACAACACATGTACCTGTTGATTATTTATGATGGCATTATCTACCTACTAGCAACAACAGTTATAATTTTGCAGAGCTGAGAAGCTCCGAGCAGGATCAAAGTTTGAGTTAGGAACAGTTGTACCTGGAGCTTTATGTCTCTTGGTAATATTCTCAATGCCTGAGCACCATTTATCCTGTCCCATCTCTGGCTTAAAAGATCAAGTGCTTGACTCAACATTACTGAATCACCCTCATCGGTCATCTCATCTGCATCACCATCACTTCGTCCACTGTCAGTGCTACTGAGGCTGATACGCATATCGTCTGCCCCTTCAATTTCAGCAATCTTCTTAGACTGGCGGCCCCCCTTAACTTTAATAAAACCAGATTTTTGGACACCAGTGCTCTGTGCAACTACTGCAAATGAGTTTTCAGTTCTTTGTTCAAGTTCCTTAATTGCCCTCCTTGGATTAAGATAAATTTGCAGAAGAGTTAGATAAATATTAGCATATGATCTTGAAGGTTGATGAAGTGCAGCCTCGTAAACCCGGTCACAGTAGACAAGTGCTAACTCTGGTAAATGAAGCTGCATATGCCCACAGTAACTTATCTTTTATTTGGCAACATAGGAATCCAAAAGGTAAAGTAACTTGCAGGGTTACTTGTGCAGCCTTCTCTGAAAATACAGAAACTAGTTTGTTTAAGGAAACATACCTTGTGAACATATAGAGCTAATGCAAGCTGGTGCTGATTCATTCGCCCAAGCAAAATTGCACGCTCCTCAAACAAACCATCTAGTGGAAGCCGCTTTAACAAATCAGCTGCATTGTAGCCTGAAATACCATCCAGAGCAGACAACAATTTCCTACGAGTTGGTGAATAAGTTTTCTCATCCCATTTTTTTTGTTCCTTGAGATCTTTGAACCAATCAATTACTTCTGAGAGGTATAGATGGACCTGACATGTGTAGTATTAAGAACAAATCAATCAAGAACAATGTAGGTACTAAACAATTTTAATAAATATGAATAAAGTTCAATACCAGCTCATTTTGAAGCTTTGGATTTATCCCATTTTCACTCATAGAAAGCATAAGTTCTAAATATGTTGACTGCATGTTTGGTGCATGCTGCTTCAAATATGAATTCACCAGTTCCGCTGGAACATTTCCAGACAAAAAGAGTTCAATAGTTTCACTTGGGCAGCTCTCCAGAACATTCATTGAAAACTCTAATACAAGCATGGGATCAGTCCTACAAAGAGGCTGCAAAAAAACAATGCTCAACAAAACTTGTGCTAGAATTAGGAGTGCACAAGATAAAAGGAAGGGTACCTTAATACATCAAGTCTAGAGCACTTGTAAGATACCGCCAATTCTTAATAAGCAAATTTCAAACTTGGGAGACAGCATTACACTAGAGAAGTATCTTATACTGCATAAACTAGCATTAATAGACATTTTGTATTATGGTATAACACTTCCAATTATGCTCTTAAGCCACTTTTCATTGAACATTCAAATAAAGAAGACAAAATACATTCTTAGAAAATGTCAAATGCACAGTACGACCTAGGACTTGGCTATGCTTTTGCATTTAACTTGAAACCTAAGAGTATTAAACTTAGATCTTAGAAAAGATCTACACATCACAAATTCACTTTTATATTTATTAATAAGATAAGCATGATGATAAGTACTGAAAGTAGAGAATAAATCACAGCAGAATAATGATCAAGCAACTGCAGAGCTCTTTTTCACTTGTAGAAAGAAACAAGAAGGTAAAATAGCAAAAGAGAGCCTACAAAACTTACAACAGTCATGACTTAATAATGTCCAAAGCTGGTGGAATATCAATCAGCAATCCTTTTTTTTTCAAAGACTTTTATATCAATGATAAATCGGAAACTAAAAGGATAGATGATATGCAATTAATGCTAATAGCAAGTAACTCCTTTTCGCCCAGACCGAGTCACTTGCCGGACACTCAAAAGGCATCAAGATCAAATGAAAAAAATAATAAGAAGAAGAATCAAGCATAAAAAATGATCTTATATGTTATAATTGTTTATGCTTCTTTTATTGAGTTGATGAAGCTCAGAATGTGAACAATTTTTTACCTTGAGAGAAATGCTGTGAATTAGCATCTTACCTTAAGATACTCAATAATCATATTTGGCCTGATTTTCTGAGTCAGCTCGGAGTGCGTTTCACCAGAATTTGATTCCTGAACTAGTTGATCAAGAAGTTTGAGTGCATCACGGTGCATTCCATTATACTTGTAAAGCTCCAACAGTAATGTGTGCTGATTTCTTTCCATCAAAAACTTCTCGCACGTCTTTAAATCACAAAAATTGGGACCTTTCAACAACTCTAACACAGATGAAGATTGTCCAGTAAGAATCAGGGCTTGAAGAAGAGCAGTGTCAAGTATGGTTGCCATTTCCCTGGCTACCGAGCTGATATGGGTATAACCACCACCTTTCTGAGATCACAAAATATATCCTTCTCAGATATCAGGAAAAAAACATCTAACTTAGAGTCAAGTTACTGCTTCTAATAACCAAAAAGCAGTACCATGTATTCTCTGGAAATATGAATATTTAAAAAAAAATGCAGTAACTTGGGTCATGATGAAACTGCTTTAGTGAATTCATGGATATCTGAAAGCACGCTACTAGTTGTCTTTCCATTGGGTAAACAAAAATGTACCTAGATGTTAAAATTATAGTGATATGGCATCTTGAAGTGACAACAGATCTTGGCCATTAGTAGCAATCATTTACTTGAGAATAATCCAACTACAAAGCTGGCAGAGATTTGAAGGGTTATAGCTAAACCCTACATATCATTTGCATGTGATGATAAGGTAAATAATTGGAAGGCTGTCATCCGATTAAGATGGATCACAGCTGATCCTAACCGATACCACTAGGGATTCTCTTATCAAATCATTAAATAAAAGAAAGAAAGAAGAAGAGAAATAGGAGATGATGAAGAAAGGGAAGAGAGAGAAGGGAGAAGGATGAGAGGAGAATGAGAACAGGAGGTGCATAATGGAGGATGGGGGAAGGAGCAGAGAAAGAGGAATGGAAGGGAGTGAAGGGATCTGGCTGACTAGGTTTAAGTGGTTGCTTTGCCATGTCTTCTGTGGATCCACTGACTGATTTCCCCTAATAGTCAACCATTCATGCTCGCTGCTCGGTTGCATTTTTGCGTTGCTTCTTCTGCCACTTGTGTTGGCAATCCCACAGGTCCTACAGTAAAGCTAGTCAAGGATATATAATCACCTTGAACTGAGTTATGCACTTTTTTTTACAGAATACGATAAATGTATTTCTATATGTTACTTGTTTTAAATGTTTTTCAAATTTTCTAGTACTTTTCCTTTTTTTCTTATTTTTATGATTTTTGAATTTTAAAATATTTTCTCAACCAATTTTGATCCCAACAATCCACTCCGGCCAATCCGACTGAACTTGTTTGTATTGCTGCTAACAGATTCAACAGATTCAAATCCCAATTCCAGCTATGCAACCTATATGTCAAACCACACAAAAACACACATTACACACACACACACACACATACATGCTAAAATGCTGGTATCTCAAAGATATAACTTTGTGTTTGTTGGTTTGTTCATTGGCTGGAAAACTGACATCCATACTAATATAAAATCCAATACTAGCGAAAACTAGCATGGAGCTTTAAGAAACATATGGTGTCATTATCTATATTTGCATTTTTATAATTTAAAATTACACAAAGATTTGATTCAAGTCTTACCAAGAATTTCTCTAAATACAAAACTTATATCCATCACAACATGCCATAACTAATCTAAGCAATTAAACAGTTGTTAGCATTGCTCAAGAAAAGGGTAAAAAAGAGAGAAAAAACAAGTGTCTACCTTATTGGAGCTCTTTGACCTATACGGCTCATAAGATGATATACTGTCTTGCACAACCTCCTCTGTTACCTCAGCCGTAGCCCTTTCAAATATACCTTGTCTTTTCTTCTGCAAGAACTTTACAAGAGCCATAAGAGCATTGTGGCTCATTTTTTTAATCTCAAGCGTTGATTTATCATCAGATTCATAGTGCTGGGACAAAGATGATTCTGTCTCATCTGAGGCATCAGATGAAACTCTCGAGAGATGTAATTCATCATTAGCGTCTGCAAATTTCTCAGGTACAGAAACGGTTTGCAGCTTGGGAAGAATGATTGATGGATATAAGGATAAAATATAGGTGATCTCCTCTTGGGAAGCTAGAAATTGCTCCATCGCCTCCTCATAGTTCCCATTATTAAATAAATGATGTGCATATCTGAAACATACAGAAATAGGTAGAAAGTTTGATAAAAGACAATAATAACAGAATACATTACTATAAGATGCTGGAAATTATTTTTAGCTACATGTGTAGCTTATAAAAGTGTACTACCTTTAAGGTAAAAGTACTTCTATATGAAACTGCATAAATTACATACTATAACCTAATTCAAAATAATAAGTAATAGAGTCTCAAGCATTAGAGCCTCAAGTTCTCATACATGATTATGGATCCAAAACCTGACTTATTTCTTCTTAATCATAAAATCATGCATATATTTATGATAAAGAACAACTAGGACATGGAGACATTGCAAACCATCTGTAAGCATTTTCTTCCAAATGATCAAAAAGTTGGCAAGAAAATTCTACAACTCAGATTGTTGAAGTCTTGGAAATGATGCAAAAAACACATTAATTTATTATTTTTCAAAAGGATAGGCATTCCAAACTAAAAGTCTAATGTTGTCAATTCACCATCTAAGATGCATATTCTTTAGGAAAACAATTACCTTATGTGTATTAAGCTTTCCTTAGAAGCTCGAAGTGATGAATCCTCAGGAGGAATTAGCTTACACAAAGACAATGCCTCCTCAAAATCTCCAGAAGCAGTTAATTGTACAATCTGTAAGATAATGAACAGATAAGAAAGATGATAAGTAACATTAAAATATAACCCTAGGTTAGGTAAAGTCATCTTAAAGGTAATCTTAAAGAACTCTTTCCCCTTCTAGATAAGCAAAGGCATAAATTCCAGAAATAAAAGATCTAGACAACTTATTCAGATTCCAATGCCCCTAAAAATCTAAAAGAGATTATGTGTAGGAGTTTATCTAGAAAGTTGAGCATGCAAATTAGGCTTTCTCAATGGAAAATGCAGCATTTAACTTGCAAAAGATACAACTAATCTCTTGACTTCATTTGTTCAAGCAAAAAAAATATGAGTCTAATAAAAACCATACGTAACCATAGGTTGTCTACAAATTAGCAACTTGAAATAATAAACAAATGAACCAGAATTTTCATGTTGTTCTGGCCACAAGAGTATCCAAATTTTCATATGCAAATAGATAAAGTTGTTGCAACTTAATATATATACACTGGCAAGAACAATTATTTTTAAAGTGGACCATTGCTTTTTTTGTGATTATTAACATTTTTTACTTTGCAATTGAACAAAGCCTACATGTTCAGATTATTCCCCACTTAAGAAAAGAGTGATTCTTGCTCCAAGTCCATGAAGCTAATATATTGTGCAGATGACCAACCAGGTATATGGAATTTTATAATCAGATAAATAAGGCATACCTGTGCAATAAGAGGTACAGGTAACAGACCATAAACAGCATTGCTTAATGTGGTAATTAAAGAATTGTTGCTTTGGAGAAGAAGATGAACATCACGAAGACCAACTGTCTGTACTAGTGGATAAGGAGCTCGAAGGGACCGTATCTGCAGAGCTTTCACACATGAGAATTTACATCATAAAAAATTGATTTTGTTTGCTGTGGGAAATCTTAACTGTCATTCACTTACCTCGATATGCCTTGGTAGGCGACCTACAGCATATGGCTTTTGGACAACAACCGAAGCAGGGGCTTCAGACCAACATATCCTGCCATCTTGTAAAAGCTTTCCATTTTGATCAACAAAAACTCCTATGTTGTCCTAAAAGGAAAATGAAAGTGAAATTAAAATTTGTGGGAAAATCTTTGTTGGTAAACCAATTTGAACTTTTAAAGGGAAAATGAAATGTATCTACATAATGTTGAATAAAAAAGACATTCATTGAGTACTAGAAGCCTGATGAGGATGAGCAATAATTCATTATTTGAAATCTTGTTATAAATTAAACTTGCTACCTTTTCACCACTAATATTCATTTAGCTTATTAGAGTTCATCATAAGAACCAATGCAACCCGAGGAGCAAGAGATGGGAAAGAAACTGGAGCATGTTGCACTTTGTCATCCTTGCTCTTTCTATGACTGTTGTATGATATTTAACTGGTTTGATCAGCATGAACTACAGCTTTAAGGTTTCATAAGTTTGGTTGCAGATGCATTCCCAAATTGTGCTCCTATATACTTTAATGACTGATATTTAACTCATAATCGAACATAAGAAATTCCATCTTTCTGGAGAAGCCAAGAGAGCAAAAGGAGTGCCAATCATTAAAACATGGAATATCATTAAGCAAGCAAGGAATCTACTGGATTAGTTAGCCAACCCTCGGAATAACCAAGACATGCATAAATTCTAGATAATTTTATTAATAACAGGGTTTTGTCTGCATCTTGGAGGCAAAAATCAAGAAGAAAACTGAGGAATTGATCATAGGCATTCTTTAATAACAATCACAAAGATTTCCAAACTTCCTGACAAATGTTAGATAAAGTCAGAAAAGAAGAAAAATTATAATTTTTCCTTCTGCAATTTTCCACGATCGAACTTATTGCCTAATAAGTTTATATAAAAATTGCTCGATCATCACAAGTATCAGCAGTTGTGTGTCCAATTTCAAATGGGTTAATGATCAGCACGTGTTGTATATCAAAGAAAGCTGAAAGCAGGTAAAGAGTAGTAAGATGAATTAGAACTTGGCAAAGTGAATCAATAAAAAAACAAAATTGTTAGGGTTAAAAGCTTATGTTTCTAGGACTAATTGAAGGAATATGTCTTTTGTCATTATTGAATGCTTTGTCGACCTAAGATATTGTTGAGATCCCCTTTTATAATTTTCATAGTATCATTTAAGTCATGACTTGTTAAGCTTCACCAATAATTGACATAGAGAAGCCACTAAATTTTGGGATTTAAGTGCACATGCAACTTTGAAAGTGTGCAGAGTGAAGATTAGCTATCATATACTTAATTGCTTATATCTAGTTACTTCAAATTTACTCTAACTTACAGACAGACAGTTATTTGATCTCTCTTTTAATGAAGCACAAGAGTTAATATGTTGAACAAGACAGACCAAATAAATGATTTACATTAACAGCAACAGGACATTAGTGAGGTAGCTTTAACAAATAATAATATGTAATGTCGCTCTCCAAATAACAGATACCAGAATTGGAACAAAAAAATTACAAAGAGCAAAAGCATTTTCATTTTCCACCTTATAATTTCTCAATACCACACTTCACACTTATCAATAATTTTATTCTTCACCCTTTTGGTGTCCAGTATAATTGCATCCCATCCCTGTGGTAAGCATCCTAGCCAACTGTTTGAATATATTTGTTCAAGATTAAATAACAGAAATACCCCACCTCCTTTCATCTTCTTCCTTGCTTCAACAACCTCCAGCCGACAGCACTGCATCCTCTTCAGCCCCTTGGACTTAACATCTAATCCTTTCTCGTGGTGAGAAGCAACCTTGAAGGTAATTTTGTCAATCTGTTGCTTGTGTTAATTTAACATAAAGGTGGGTTCATAAATTTATGTAATAAATATTAATGACAAAGGGGGATGTAATTAGATTGGCAAACACAGGATGGACATGTTTATCAATAAGGAGTGTGTAAATTGTAAATAAAGTACAAGGTGTAAACAAAATATTATTTTACATAAATCATAGCATATTAAAATGAGCAAACATACTCATGTGTGTCTTAAGAAACCAAACAATTGTAAAGAAGCCCAATGTCATGAATGAAGCAAAAGTACCTTTCCAAGAAGAAGCTCTCCCGTGGGAAGAGGAACAACCAAAGAAGGAGCAATCCTTCCAGAAGAAAATATCTCTGACAATGCACCGGTTGTACTATTCATTATCATGTATTCCCTTCTAACACCAACACATATGTTTTCCCCACACCAAGCCATAGATTTCACCACATCAGGAACACCAAATTCCTTGACCTCCACAAATTCTCGACCACCTTTTCAACAAGTTGGAATAACTTGATTATTTGTTGCAGAAATAACTTTTCATAAGATAACACTGGATATTATCAGACAACAACAAGAAGTACTTGAAAATCAGAATGCCTAGAAAAACAAAATGTATGAAAAAACAAGTTGCCAGGTGTATTTTTCCTAGTGAAGGAAAAATATAAGTTTGCCATGCTATACCAACCACACCAAGAAAGTTTTCAGGTTATCTTAATAGGACACTGCCATCTTGTTGACTAAGGTTCTCTATGAACCACTATGACCAAGTAAATTCTGATGTAATGACAGTTCACAAATAGAAAGGGTTTGTGAGATAAGAAAACAGTGAAACAGAAAAGATCACAATAGCAAGGCCAATTTTGTAAGAAAAGACTGTAAATTTACAACAATCTCTCACTGAATATCTAACAACAGACAGTTACTGATACGGAGTCTGATCCCGTATCCTCTTTCTTCAACTCTGACTACTTCTTTACTTTAGCTACCCCTTTATTCTTAATTCAATTAGAATAAGGTATTCCTATTGCGCATGTTCCGTAACCTTGCTAGTCGTTCTGGTCGCTAACGCTATTTATTGTGTGCTTTATAGCTCTTTACTAAGATGTCTCTTCTCTATCTATGCCCTTAGTCCAGAGAGGTACTGTTACTCTACAACACTCCTAAACTCGCTTATGCTTATAATGTTCTGGCGGGGTGCTGTGCTCGGGTCGTGGAAGCCTCCCTTTATCAGGAGGAAGACAGTTTGAAGCTTAAAAGTTTGTGAAGTATACATGGCATAACATATGTCAGGTTCCACAAATAGGACACAGAAATATGTGTCACCATTTACTTTTCACATAAGCTTTTCTCCAAGTTCTTACTTAAGCTTCAGTAAGTATAAATGAAAAGTAAGAGACACAAAAATGTCTTATAGGAGAAACTAAATCCTGACAGCAAATAAACCTGCAGTACAAAAGTCATGCAGCAAAAAAACTCTAAACCAACACTCTACCAGTGAGGCTACTTTATTCTGTAACTTGGACTCAGAGATATGATCTGTTTATCATAGATAAATATCATATTAATCTGCATTAAATGTAGATCGCACCACAAGTCTTTGATTGAATAGCATAGCAAAAAATAAAATATTATACATAAAAGAGAAAGGCAGTCTATATTCTAGCACTCCACCATTTATTCTGCAAAGAGAAAATTTTGATAGAAGTCTACTAAAATATGGATCGCCTCTAAAAATTGAGCATGTGAAGACAGACATGATAAGTTATAAGGATTCTTTTCCGAATAAATGCAATAAAATTACCCAATTTTTTATCCTGAGAACAGATGAGACATATAATTTCTCCCTTTCTGATTCACTACTACTTTGTTTAGGAACATGTACATATCAATTAACTAGCAAATAGGAGTTAATACAATTAAAGAAAAGAACTACTTTCTTAAAATAACCATGAATTCAGAATGCCAAATTGGTAAATGAGGACCCTATCAGAATTCCATAGATTCCATCAAAAGGGATGGTGATCGTATACGTACCATCAAGACGATAAATTGCAACCCTCTTCTGCCTCCCGACGCAGAGGAACCCCCTCCTATCGTCCCAGCTGTAAACGTGAGCGCCCTTCGTCTTCCCGATCGCCACCACCGTCTCCAGATTCGGGAACCGGTGGACGGCGACCCACTCCGACAGGGAGAGGAGGAGATCCCGCGACCGGCACACTTCCATGGCCAGCGGGGCCCGCTTCCAGAACCCGGACACCGTCCTCTCCGGCAGGTAAGGCTCCCTCCGGATCTCGACGTCAGGTGGCGGGGGGCCATCATCGCCCCCTCCGCCTCCGCTGGCGAGGGGTGCGGGGGGGGCGGAGGAGGGGGCGTAGATTCGGAGGGAGGCATCTGAGCAGCCAAGGAGGAGCTTGGAGCCATAGGCGGCGGCGGCGTCGATCCTCACCGGGCACCCCTTTAGGAGCTCTACCGAGTCGTAGGCGCTGTGCACCATCTCTCGCCCTCCCTTCCTTTCTTCTTTCTTTCTTCCCCTTCGTCTCTCTCTCTCTCTCTCCCCGCCCTCCGGTGAAGGACACAGAACCAATAAACAACCCAGATGGATCCTCTCCAAGCTTTTTATATATAATGTTAACGAACGGTGAAATTAAACGTTGGAAAAGATCCCCTATTCAACCGTTCGGATCAGGCCGAACACGTTCGGAATCCGAAAACTTCCAATAGGATCCGGACAGCGAGTGGCGTGTCAATGGACCCGATACCTGCTTACCCGTCAACCCTCTTGTATCGGTTCGGGCGGGTCCTCACCCGTGGGCTTATGTCCCGACATGATGCCATGGCACGCGGGGTCCTTCCTCTTGCCGACGTGGATAAGTGAGGGATACAATTGTCTTTTCGCACAAGCTATTTGAAGGCACGTGCTTCACACGAGCGAATGGTTCTGTCGTCCTGGTCATTACCCCTCGGCTCGCGTCCTTCCGGTCTTCCCGACCTCTCTCGCTCCTTTGGAAGGAGCAACGGTGCCCCTGCTGGACCGTAGGTAATTGTCGCCTCCACAATCTCTCCTTACTACGATTCCTCTTTGGTCTTGTTTGGATGCCTTAATTCTTTGGTGAAATTTTGATTTCTTTTCTTTCTCTTTCTAGTATTGTCTCGTGGTTGTGCTGGAAAGTTAGGATAAAAAACAACCATTCCAATCTTACCATCTATTTTTTTGGAGATTTTGCATTGAGTGAGCATCAAAAGGATGATTTTTTAGTCCTTTTCGGTTAAGAGGGACTAAAGGAACAATCAGGTGGTGAGCATGGTTTTGTTGGGTAATACTGGTGGCAGGCAATGAATCTTTAATGTGATTTGAGTAAACATCTTCCCAAAAGATTGTGGTCTTCATTTTGAGGTTACCACCTGTCATGCTCTTCTTAGACCATATTATTCTATGAGAGTTGAAATCTACAGACCATTCATGTTCCAGTAAGGGGTATGACGGCATCTTCTTCCATCTCCCTAATTATGATACAAGTTTTGCTTGAGAATGAAGGTGGACATTGTTATGCCCTTCAATCATCAAACACATGTGGTACCCCCAGAGGTTATTGATCAAGGCAAAACAGATCATTTAGGGAACATATGAGTATGCTGAATTATATTCCATTATTATCTGTTGCACTCAAAACAGTAACCAGATTACAATGATGACAATGAGAAAAGATGAGTAGGATGATGCCATTGGTCCCAGTTCCAACATGGGAAGGCATCTGCTGAACTTAGAGGGTTTGAATATTGGGTGGGGGAGGGTCCAGCCTCTTCAACTTGAGACCTAATGCTCCTTTCATTTAGTCCATCACCTTTGTTTCTTGTTGGTACAATGTCTTCTTCCTGCATGATCACTGCAGAGGAAAAGAAAGAGTGATTGTAGGCTTTCAATTCTTAATACTCTGCAAAAGGATAGTGTAGGACAAAATCTGGACTAAGCTCAAAAACAAAAGTATACCTGAATGGAAGGAAGCAGCTCTTGAAGGCAACCAGAGCATGCCTTTGCTAAACCAAATAATCCACCATTTAGATGTCAAAAGAACAAACAGGAGGATTCTTGACTTCAAACCAAATACATCATAACATAAACTTATGTACTACCAGCAAGCAAAGTAGCTCACAGGGAGGACAAATTAGTTCAAAATCAATGTGCATGGCAGTACCTGCAAATTAGTTAAAAAGGCTCCACCTCTGACATCCTCTTGATTCTCTGTCATTCTCACCATCTGATTCTGTGATTACTTTGGTTGTGTCTATCATGCTACTTAGTAAGTGCGAGACACTTGAGACACTCAGCTGTACAGTTTTCTTCCTCAATGTGACCAATACATGCAAGAAGGAAATCTATGAATCCTTCAACAAAATATAGAAGTTGGCACTGCAAAGTACTTGAACATTTCTTGCATGTATTCTTTAACATCATACATTTCTTGGATCATGCATGTTGTGGTTGCTACTGCAATGAATGATTTGAACAACCCATTCGTTTGTTCCCTCAAATGACTCAAAACCTCATAGCAATAGTTCTTATTCGTCTGTGAAGTGCCCCAGATAACTGTAGCAATTTTAAAGTATGATCGATTCAAGTGGGGGAGAAACTATGAAAAATAGAAGAACAACAATGTGACAGGGAAACAAAGTTATTCAGAGATGAAATAGCAAGAAACCACCATTCATGAGCACGAGTAATTCTCCTACCAGTTGACCTTAGCTTCAACTCTGTCCCATCCTACTCCAATAAAAAAGTCATCCTCACAAAGCGGCATATTCTTCTACAGTTTTCCATCAAGACCACGATCCACTAAAAAAGATATCAGTATATCGTAGTCCATCAGCTGATGCCTAAAATACATTATCCCTCACATTTTCTTTATTGAACCTTCAGGTCTTCAATCCATAAAATACCTCATATATCTTTATGAGCAACTCCTTGCTTAAAATATCTATGGAATCTACAATGGGTTTTTAGTCAGATAATGGAAACTGAAGCCCTGCCATCCGGACCGACTCCTTCCTTCAAATATCTACAATGGGATTTTAGTCGGACAAAGTCTTAACCATGGTGGTATCTTACTAAAACGTCAGCAACTTTGGGCTTACTGCCATCATTCCTATATAAATTGTTCCTTTAGTCCCTCTTAACCGAAAACGACTAAAAAATCATCCTTTTGTTGTTCACTCAATGCAAAATCTCCAAAAAAAAAAAATGGTAAGATTGGAATGATTGTTTTTTATCCTAACTTTCCGATACTAATTGGTCCGCTTACGAAATGTTGGATGGTTGATTATGTCTTATTGTCAGACAACGATTTCGTAGTCCTAATGATGTATCTGATCCTTAGACTTGAGATACCAAGGATTTTCTGTATGAGTACTTCATTCTTTGATACCGGACTTATAGGTTTGGAGGCTCTAGATGTAGCACAATCGGTCATCGTGAGTGGTAGCCAACCATTTGATGTGTGTACTAGTGATTATTATTAGTGGGGCCAACCGGTATACGGTTTTTAGGATATTAGATGGATGAGGGACTATAGGCACACGGTAATTGAGGACAAACAAGTCCAATGGATTGAATTCCCTTGTATCGTCTAGGGACTACGGTGTAGTGGCATAATATATCTGTAGTCGACGAGTCAAGTGAATTATTATGGAGATAATAATTCATTAAACCAGAAGAAGTTCTGATAGGTATGACTCACGACCAGCTCGATATTGGGCCTAGAGTGTCACACACATATACACATATGATAGGCGTTGCGATGAGTAGAGGTTCAGATATGAGATATCCGCCGGATCCCCTATCTTACTAGATATCCAATAAGTTTCTGAATTATTTGATTCTATGGATGAGATCTAATAAGAGCCAATAAGATATTATTGGATATAGATCCACTAATCTAAGAGGCTTGGGTAGTTAGATGGAGATCCAATACCCATTAGGGCAGGAACTATTATGGTTAAGTTGATATGGGACCTCTATAAATATGAGGGAACCAATGGTTCATAGGCTAGAGCATTTTTGGGTTTCTCTCCTATTCTAGTACCCTTCTCCTCCTCATATAGCAGGTTTGAAGTTTTGAGAAGCATCGTCGCAATCTTGTTGTGTGGATCGTCGCTAGAGAGGAGGACACTTGACCTCCTTCACCCTCTCCTAGAGATCTGTAGGGATTCAGGGATATACGATCTCTTTATGTAACACAATCTTTAATATATGCAATTCTCTGTTTTACGGATTTTGCGCACCAATCATCGCACGATGACGAACACATCTTTGGGAAATTGGAGATTTTGTTTTTAATGTTTTTCCGCTGCACATGTGATGTCGCCCCCTAGATTTCCCAACATATACTAGTTGTATCTTTGAAGTATTTTAAGTATCGTTGTTAATATTCTTTCCACCAATGATCAAAAGAAACTACAAAGATAGGCACCGGAAGAGGAACTACAAAGAGTACCTTGCATAAAAGGCGAAACTAAAGTTTGGAGAAACTTCAAGTACATTCATAATTGGTCTTTATTTGTCAAATTCTTACAATAACACATGGGTATTGGATACTGATAGTTCTCATCACATTTGTAATTCGTTGTAAGTTATGGCAAGACCTAGGAGATTGACGAGAGACGAGATGAACCTCAAGATTGGCAATGGAGCAAAAGTTACTACAGTAGATGTTGGCGATGTCACCCTACATGTCTGTTGGAGCTATTATTGTGTTAGATGCATGTTATTTCGTTCCTTCTATTATCAAAAATATTATTTTCATTTCATATTTGATAGTTAGAGGATATAAATTAGTTTTTAAAAATAATAGTTGTTCAATTATATTGGATGACAAGATCTAACACTAGAGAAACATTATATAATGACTTATTTATGGTAGATATTGCTCCAAATATTATGAATATAAGTGCGACCAAGAGGAAATGAGATGTGGTGAATAATGCGTTCCTATGGCATTGTAGGCTAGATCACATCCATAAAGGAAGAATTCAAAAATTGTTGAATGATGGATACTTAGATCTATTCGACTATGAGTCGTATGCGACTTACGAGTCTTGCTTTCATAGAAAATTAACCAACTCTCCATTTAGTGAAACCGGAGAGTGAGCCACTAAGTTGTTAGAACTCATACATAGTGATGTATGTGGTCTCATGTCTACTCAAGTCATGAGAGGTTATTCTTACTTCATTACATTCATTGATGATTTCTTTAGGTATGGATATATGTACTTGATGAAGTACAAATTCGAGACATTTGAGAAATTCATGGAATATAAGAATGAGGTAGAATATCATACTGGAAAGAGTATCAAGACCCTTCGATCAGATTGAGGATGTGAGTACTTAAGTACAAAGTTTACATAGTTCCTTAAGAACCATGTGATTCTATCCCAATGGATACCTCATTATACACCTCAACTTAATGGTATATCGAAAAGGAGAAATCGCACGCTGCTAGACATGGTGCGGTCCATGATGAATCTCGCCAACCTATCCATCTCATTCTGAGGATACGCCCTAGAGTCTGTAGCTTACCTTCTGAATAGAGTTCTGACTAAGTCGATAGTGTCTATACCATATAAGATATGAAAATAGAAAAAGTCTGATCTTAAGATTGTTAAGATTTGGGGTTGCTCCACCCACGTTAGGAGATACAACCCTGATAAGTTGAAATCAAGAACGAAACGATGCAAGTTCGTGGGATACCCAAAAGAAACTTGTGGGTATTATTTCTATCACTCTAAGGACCAAAAGGTCTTTATAGCCAAGAGGGCAATATTTTTTGAGAAGGAACATATTTTTTGTGAAGATAGTAGGAGCATGATAAAGTTGAGCAAGGTTCGAGAACCTAGCTCAAGCACCACTCCATAGCCCAAGTTTGTTTAGGTATCTAACACACAAATTTTGACTTTACATAGGTTTGGTAGAGTACCCCATCCTCCTGAGAGATATATAAGATATATCAGAATAATGAATGTTGAAAATATTGATTCTTAGACCTA